TTCCTGCTCCTCTGATGCTGCTTGGCCTGCTGTGTTCATCCAGCTCTACACCTTGTCTTCTCAGATTCTCCAGCATCTGCAGTTCCTACTATCTCTGAGGTCAAAGCATTGAATGTTTTCAAGAAGAAGTTAGATATAATTCTTAGAGCTAAAGGGGTCAAAGCACATGGGGAGAATGTGGGTATTGAGTTGAATGAACAGTCACAATCATGCTGAATGGTGGAGCAGGCCTGAAGGGCTGAATGGCCTACTCTTGCCTCTGTTTTCTTTGTTTCAATGTTTTGTCAAAGGGAAAATCACATTTAGCTAATTTATTAGAAGTCTTTGAAGGAGTACCATGTATTGTGAATAAAAGGAGCCTGTATTATGAACTATACTTGGAGGTCCAGAAGACGTTTAAGAAGTTGACACATAAAAGTTTAAGGTGGAAAATAAAGACCATGGCTTAGTGGGTAACATATTAGCATGGGCAGAAGATTGGCTAGCTAACAGGAAACAGAGAATAAACATAAATGGGTCGTTGTTTCACTGGCAGGATGTGACAAGTAGAGGGGTCTTAACTTTTATACAATTTACATCAATGACTTAAACAAGGGAAGAGGAGGCATTGTACTAAATTCATAAATGAGACAAAGATAGGTAAGAAAGCATATCGTGAAGAACACATAAGGAGTTAACAGAAGGATATAGGTTGAGTGAGTGGGCAAAGGACTGTCAGATGGAATAAAATGTCAGAAAATGTGGAGGTGTTCATTTTGATAGATGAAAAAGCAGCGTATTACTTAAATGGGGATCAATCATGGAATTCAGAGGGATTAAAGAATTCCAGGACAGGAGTCACAAAACACTAATATGCAGGTAGAATGATTTAGATGGGATGCTGTTCTTTATTAGGAGCAAAATTGAACATAAAAGTGAGGATGTTGTTCCTCAGTTATACAGGGCATTGGTGAGACCATGTATCGAATACTGTGTGCAGTTCTGATCTCCTCGAACCACCCTGGGCCTTATCTTAAACTCCATGTACATCTGTAAATGGAAAATGTCCAACTGTATACATACAGTGCATGAAGCAGAGCTTTCTTTGAACTTTAGGATATCTTGGATAATTCAGCACTCCTTTACAGTGCAGGGCAGTGAGATGGGAATTTGGGCACTGGGCTTGGTGACCCTAACTCACAAACTCCACCATCTGGGACCACTGCCCTTGGGCAGGCTCATAGGGTTGTCCATTTAATGCAGAGATGAGGTGTTTTTTTTCACAGCTGAAGGGTCTTTGAAACTCTCTTTCCTTCAAAAGACAGTGGAAGCAATGTCTGAATATTTTTAAGGCCAAGAAAACAGATTCTTGGAAAGCAAGAGGGTTAAAGGTTATTGGGGATAAGCAGTAATGTAGAGTAATGAGATCAGCCATGATTATATTGGACAGGAGGGCAGTCTGAAAGTTTCGAGTGGCCTTCTCCTGCTCCTAAATGGGATGTTTATGCAGTTTGAGAATTTCAAAGTGAAAGAATTGTTGGAGTGGAAGCTCATGTGGGTCAGCAAGCGCAGGGAGGTAATGAATGAACAGAACTTGACACGGTTGTATTGGCATTTTACAACAGGTAAAGTGGGACTGTGTACAATGCAAATCACTGTAATATATCTTCTTGGGAGAAGCTGTGCTAAGTGCTAAAAGCTGAAGGATAAGTTAGGATGGTGAGCTCTCTCTGGAAAAATTCTAAGCTGCTTTCACATTCAAATATTGACGGAGAGTAAACAGGAACTGAATCTAATAGAGTGAATTCAACATCCACTTGTACACATGAGCAGTAGCACACTGGGGACTGCAGGGATTCCACAAGATGTCAGCAATAGCAGTAGACCCTGAGACTCTCCAATGCCAAGTTACTGATACCAACCCGACCCTAGCACTGGTTTATGCTGATCTTCAGTACAAGGGGCTAATGATGATCACCACCCAGAACGAGACGGTGGGAAGATCCCAGTTTAAAGCAGAACTTGGGAAAAGTTCATCACCTTCAGAGTCTTGTCTGAGCTGGCTGCGATTTCGTAGAAGAGGTAGGAGCCACTGATGTCACACAGTTTGTCTGCATTGCCATGTAAAAGCAATATCTGGGTTGTTATAGTGGGCAAGATCTTCTCGACACCGCTCACAGCGTTTAACAGCATGGTAGCGAATCGCACCCTCACCGGCCCGTGGTAGTTGAGAGGGTCATCAATGTAGTCTTTCACCTGCCAGGAAAACAACATGTCAATCATGAAGGAACTAAACTCAGTGGGTGCTGGAAATCCAGAACAACATCAGAAAACGCTGGCAACATTTAGCGTGCTGTAAGATCAGTAGGACATATGGCCCCTCAAGCCTGCTGCATCATCCAGTAGAATCATGGCTGATTCAACACTCCTCATGTCCACTTTCCTGCCCTTTCCCTGTAACCCTGGATTCCCCGACTGATCAAGGATCTCTCTATCTCAGCCTTAAATGTACACAAGGACTCTGACCCCACAGCTCTCTGTGGCAAGGAGCTCCAAAGACTCACAACCTTTTGAGAGAAGAAATTCCTCCTTATCTCTGCCTTAAATTTGTGCCCCTTTAATCTGAGACTGTGCCCTCTGGTCCTAGATTCTCCAATGAAGGAAACATACTCTCACCATTTACCCTTAGGAATCCTAGATGTTTCAATGAAATCACCTCTCATTCTTCTAAATGCCAATCAGTAGGGTACCAACCTGTTTAGCCTTTGTTCTCAAAGACACTAGCTCCATACCAGGGATCATCCCACCCAGCAGTATCTGTGGGAGAGAAACAGAAATTGCCAGGCAGAGTCTTGAGGAGACACCAAGGTTTCTGAAATGCTGGCGTCACCTCCTTTCAGAAAGGTCTACCGTGCCTTGCTCCACTCAGACACTGGATCAGGTTAGCACAGGCTTTCCTCTGGAATCAGGGATTAAGGGAATAAGGGAAAGATGGAGCGATGGAGGGATGAAGGTCATGGGGGTGAAGGGGTGTGGAGAACTTGAAAATAGGTTCAGGAACAAGGGCAAGTGAGCAATCTTTCAGGTCCCTTGAATCAGGGAACAAGTGCCTCTAATCAAGGGCCATCTCCCCTCTCCAGAAGCCTCAAGAAAACATCTTTGGGCTGGCCGTCATATTCCCTGCCTGGTGAACCCCTCACCCTCTGTTGGTTAATACTGGCAGTGATGGGATAAGACCTGTGTAAATTAGGCGATGGCCTTGCGGTATTATCGCCGGGCTGTTAAACCAGGGACCCAGATATGGGAATCTGGGTTCAAATCCTGCCAGAGGGTGCAATATAAGATTCCTATGATGATCATAAATCTGTTGCGATTGTCAGGAGAAACCCATTAGGGAAGGAAACTGCCATCCTTACCTGGTCTGGCCTACATGTGACTCCAGGCCCACAGCAATGTGGTTGACTCTTAACTGCCCCCTGGGCAATTAGGAATGGACAATAAATGCTGGCCTAGTTAGTGATGCCCTCATCCCATGAATGAATTTTTAAAAAAACCCACGACTAAATAGCTCCCATACCTCTGGGATAAGAAGAGTCTAAATGAAGCAAATCTCTAACAGTAACAACACAAATCCTTAAGGCCATTAATGTCAACATTCATGTCTCGAGGGGTGGAATTGAGGAGACTGGACCAGTTCAGCTCAATAACCTGCTTCTACATCAAAGATAACATAACTTGACAAATATGTGAAGCATTAGTTGGGAGTAGAACTTTACATATCTGTTTTGAAATCGAGAAGACTTGTCCTTGACTAGATAAATGATAAACATGGTTTGGCAGCCCAAGATTCAGAATCAACTATACTAGGAATTTAAATGAAAGAGGAAATTTATCTAGAACAGAAGTGTAGAATCGATAGCATAGTTATAGAACAGAGGGAGGCCATTCATCCCTTACTTTATGCCAGCACTCTGTAACAGTAATTTAGCTCATCTCACTCTCCCCTCAGTTTTGGGGAAGAGTTGACCAGTGAATTCCTGGTCTGCCATGTTTCTCTACATATTGTGGTTTTTAAACGTTACTAATTTGCACTAGTGTGGAGTCCAGTCCACATCTGTCTATAGTTCCCCAAACCTGCTCATGGATGCTGTATAAAGCAGGATGCAATGTGGAAATGCTGCTGCACTCAATGGGTTAATGTCTGTCGAACTTACAGCAATGGATGGAAAACTGCCAACAATGTTTTGGTCCAGTTTTGCTCGATAGTGGCAGCAGCCATCACATGATCAGTAATGACCTTTCGCTACTTGACCTTTGAGTGGGTCCCATCATGAAGGACATCGCCTTGGAGATGGTGCATAATGACGTGGTGTAATTGCTAACCTCTCCTCCCTCCAATCCCTCATCGCAAGATTTATACCCAGACCGTATAACCCTCCAGGGAAAAATACACACCACCACAGAGAGCAAAATTTGACTTTTCTTAAGCGCGTTAGTCACTAACTGAGAATTATGGCATCACATGACAATATAGAATTGCATTAATTGGTAGCAGGTCTGTGAATGCTACGCTGTTCAATGATTATTTCCATAGTATTTGGAACACCTGGGCAGCGCTCTTAAAAAATAAATCATGGCAATATACTCACCAAATCAGCGAAAATTGCGTGTTAAGTTGGGGCTACAGCTCATGACCTTTTCTCTCAGAGGTGGGAGCAAAGACTGACCAAACCTCTTGATTAAAAAAAACTGATTCCTCAAGAGAATGGTGCGGTTTGGTTGTAATGCAAGATGTAGCACACTGGGCAACGTGGAGACTGCTTTCCCTCCACCCCCAGGCTCCCCAGCTCACTCACGTGGTACTGAGCAATACCCAACATCTGGGGGCTGTCCCCCACAGCCCGTCTGCCAACTGCACTTGGAGATGTCCCCACAGCAGAGGTCAGAGGTCAGTCGGACAGCCTAAATGTATGAGTCAGGTTCAGTTTCAAGCCCAACGTCTGATTGCAAATGCTGGGAGCTCAGGGGACCATCAGTTTCTTACATTCTCTGGGCAGTGGGGAGAGGATTGGCAGCAGGAATTAGGACTGTTTTCTCACAAGACTGTTGACGCTGTGTTGAGATGTCTTTGGCAATAGGAACTCAGTAATGTTGGAATTTACTGTCAATGCCAGGGGCCTTTCCCATTGACTGGAGAGCTCTATGTCACCTCCTACTGGACGACATACTGGGATGAAGAGCTAACTGACCAGCATTGGAGTTCTCTGGGATACAGGACCCTGAGGATGGCCACTCAGAAGCTGATGGCTCTTCAATACCTGTCAGTGTCATCAGGAACAGTGGCTGGTCTACACATCAGAGGACTAGGATTGACAGATTGACCCAGTTCACAAGTGGATAAGGGAAGGAGGGAAACTGTAGGGAGAAGGCACTGCTGGTGGGAAGGGGTGAAGTGGTTTGTAACAAAGCTTTTCACTGTGCTTAGGTACACAGGACAATAAATCAAACCAAATCAAAAGAATAGAAGTGGCTTTCAGGAGGATGTTGCTTCCCAATGCTGGTCACTCAATCAGGCACTGAGTGCCTTTCCTATAAGGGACCCTGAAGCCCACGAGCAAATATGACAGGGCATATAAAAGGGCAGGGACTGGACCATTGTTCTGGAGATATGGGTTTGAATACCACCATGGCAGGTGGTACTGTTTGAATTCCATCAGATCTGACATAAAGATGATCTAATGGCGTCCGCATAACCATTGTCAACTGCTGTAAAAATACATTTGGTTCACTAATATCCTTTAAGGAGAGAAATCTGCCATCCTCACCTGCTCTGACCTACATGTGACTCCAGACCCACAGCAATGTGGTTGATGTTTAACTGCCCTCTGGGCAATTAGGGATGGGCAATAAATACTGACCTAGCCAGCAATGTCCACAACCCCATGAAAGTTTTGTTCTAAACAGGCTTAGAGAACAGAGGTTAAAGGTCAGTTAGGTAGATTCCAGACTTTTGCTTTTCTAGTTGGAGTTTCATTCCAACTCCCACATGGCAAAACACCAACACGCTGATTATATGTACCCCATATATACATTGATATCAGTTCTCACCCCAATATCCCTTAACTAACAAATCTATATCACTTACATAAGAACATAAGAGCTAGAACCAGGAGCAGGCCATTCTGGGAGACTGAATTATACAGGTTCATGACATTTTGAGAGAAGTCATTCCGCCTCATCTCAGTTTTAAATCTGCTACTCCTTATCCTAAAACTATGACCTCTTGCTCTGGATTGCCCCACATAAGGAAACATCCTCTATCTCCATCTATTTTGTCAATCCCTTTTAGCATCTTATAGAGGCGATGGCCTAGTGGTATTATTGCTGGACTGTTAATCTAGAGACCCAGATAATGTTCTGGGGACTTGGATTCAAATCTGGCCATGGCAGATGGTGGAATTTGAATTCAATTAAAATATCTGGAATTAAGAATCTAATGCTGACCGTGAATCCATTGCCGATTGTTGGGGAAAAACCCATCTGGTTCACTAATGTCCTTTAGGGAAGGAAACTGCCAGCCTTACCTGGTCCGACCTACATGTGACTCCAGACCCACAGCAATGTGGCTGATTCTGAACTGCCCTCTGGGCAATTAGGGATGGGTAATAAATGCTGTGTAGTTAGCGATGCCCTCATCTTGTTAAAGAATTTTTTAAAAAAGACCTCAATTAGATCTCCTCTCATTCTTCTAAACCCTAGAGAGTATAAACCTAAGACTGCTCAGTCTTTCTTCGTGAGACAAACCCCTTATCTCTGGAATCAATCTACTGAACCTCCTCTGAACTGCCTCCTCAAATATGGAATCCGAACCTATCCATATCCATTTGTAAATTTCTTACTTCTTCATTGCAACTCACTTTCCCACCTATTTTAGTGTCATCAGCAAATCTGGCTACAGTACTTCCTGTCCCTGAATCCAAGGCATTAACACAGAGTGTCAATAGTAGTGGCCATAGGTCCAAGCCCTGTGGCACTCCCATTAATCACCTCTTGCCAACCAGAAAAAGACTTATTAATGCTGACTCTCTTCTTTCGGTTGGTTAGCCAATGCTCTATTTAAGCTAATAAATGACCCCTACCCTCTTGGAATGTCACTATCCCACAGATCCATTTGGTCTCAGTCATCCCCACCAGACACTGTAGTGATAATAAGACATTACGCACAAACTTTCTGATGGAATTGGAATGGCTAGGGGTCCCCATCCCATCAGATTATTGCCTTCTATTTTCACCCTAAAATGAATAAAAAAAGAAAAAAGACCTGTCCATCTTCTCTCCCACCTATCCGCTCCACCCATCCCACTGACCAATCCCCACCACTCCCTACCTGCACTCACCTATCACCATCCCACCTACTTTCCCCAGCCCCATGCCCCCTTTCTGTATTTATTTCTGAGCTCCCTGCCCCCTCCCCATTTCTGAAGAAGGGCCCCGACCCAAAACGTCAACTTTCCTGCTCCTGTGATGCTGCCTGGCCTGCTGTGTTCCTCCAGCTCCACACTGCGTTGTCTCTGACTCCAGCATCGGCAGTTCTTAGTATCCCTTCAAATGTCCTGTTGTGGGGTGGTGCTTCTCTGTTGTGCCTGTTGTTTGCATCCTCTGTAAACTAGAGCTCACCTGTGCCTAGTTAGTTGATTGAATTAAACGTTGGTCCAATCTTGATTAAATACTGCGTGATGTTTTATAAATGTGGATTTAAAAATCATGTAAAGGTAGATTTTGATACATTGGCAATGTGAGGTCACTCTTGCCCACCACCTTCCTTCCTCCCAGTGCACTGGACAGAACCAACATGCTAGGGTCTAGGCCCAAAACGTCAGCCTTTCTGCTCCTATGATGCTGCTTGGCCTGCTGTGTTCATCCAGCTCTGCATCTTGTTGTCTCGGATTCTCCAGCATCTGCAGTTCCTACTATCTCTGCTAAAATCAGACTGTCTTTGGCTCAGTCACAGCAAGTGATACTCAGTTTAGTCATCAATAATGAGCCAATGATCATAGAAACATAGAAAAAAGGAGCAGGAATAGTCCATGTGGCCCTCCAAGCCTACTTTGCCATTCAGTATGACATTGGCTAATCCTCAAACTCAGTATATGTTCACAGTTTCTCTCCATGCTCTTTGATCCTTTTAGCCCTCAGAAATATATCTAACTCCTTCTTGAAAATATTACAATGTTTTAACCCTCAGGCCCTTTCTATGGCAGAGAATTCCACAGGCTGACCACTTTCTGCATGAAGAAATTTCTCCTCATCTCAGTCCTAAATGGTCCACCCCTTATCTTTAGACTGTGACCCCTGGTTCTGGACTCTCCAGTCATCGGGAACATCCTTCTTGTTTTTACCTTGCTTAGTCCTGTTAGAATTTTACAGGTTTCTGTGAGATCCCCTTCATAATGAGTGAAGGTCTTAGAAAATAAGACCCTATGACCGAGTTCACCGTTAGGGCGCTGATACCTCACAAGTTTGTGTCCTTGTCTGGCCAGTTTGACTCCATAACGGCACTGGCAACTCAATAACTATATTGTGTGGCATTTAGTGTGACAGGGGATTTCCTGTTGACTGGAAAATTCACTGTAAGCCATCATGAAGATACTGAAGGATCATCTAACCATTTGTCCTCAGTGCAGAAGGGTTATAAAATACATAGGAAGGCTCTTAAAGGTGCTACATAAGGCAAGGCATTGATTTTGGGAGAAAATGCATCTTTTTTAAATTCATTTACGGGATGTGGGCAACGCTGGCTAGGCAGCATTTATTGTCCATCCCTAATTGCCCAGAGGGGAGTTAAGAGTCAACCACATTGCTGTGGGTCTGGAGTCACATGTAGACTAGACCAGGTAAGGATGGCAGTTTCCTTCCCTAAAGGGCATTAGTGAACCAGATGGGTTTTTCCGACAATTGGCCATAGATTCATGGACTCTTAATTCCAGACTATTTTTATTGGACCCGGATCCCCAGAACATTACCTGGGTCCTTGGATTAACAGCCCAGTGATAATACTACTAGCCATCGCCACCCCCACCATGATCCCCCACCTCCCCATCCCCCATCTCTAATAATGGACCCAATGAAATGGATCAAATAGTACCTTATGCTATGATGGATTGGACCTTGTCTGCACATAATGCCTTTGTTTGAATATGTGAAGAAAATGAATCATCAGTAACCCACCTCCTTTTCGTCTCTTGACAGAGAGTGTGGATCCATATATCCCAAAGCTACATTTGGCAAGAAGTAGTCCAAAATTCTGGCACAAAATACCTACAGCAGAGAAAGGGAAGCAAGTAAGTCTACTTCTTTATTTCGGTCAACAATTCACCCAATTACTTGGGAGACCGCACTCCCTTGGAACAATGAGGATGAGTATTGGATACTCTGCTGTGAAGGTCGTTGATCCTCACATGATTCCCTAATCCATTGGAATGAATGTTCCTGGATGGATTCCTTAACTTCCACAGTTAAATTCCTGATCTGAGCCTTAAGAAATTAAGATGTAAGTGTAGTAATAGACCATTTGGCCCATCAAGTCCACTCTTCCATGATAACAAACTGGAGAAAGAAAATTCATGAAACAAAGAATGTGTCAGATTTTAGATATTTGCTTAGAGAATAAAGTTAGTATGGATGTGGAGAGAAGGCAGGACATTGGGGTTAAAATGATTGAAATCTGCCATGACCGAGGCTCATGCTAATATACAATTGGATTATATGTTATCTTTAAGGGATGGGTTCAAACTCCTGAGGGTCTTTTGTTAATTTTGACTATTCTTTGAGGAAATATTATGAACATACAATTTAACAGCAGGACTAGGCCATTCAGCTCCTCGAGCCTGCTCTGCATTCATTAAGATCATGGCTGATCTGATTACCCCACATTCTGAACTATCCTTGATAACTTTCCACCCCCCTCACTCATCAGGAATCTATCCACCTCTGCTTTATAAATATTCTCAGACTAACACTCAAGAAGCTTGACACCAACCAGGACAAAGCAGCCGCTTGATTGGCACCACATCCACAAGCATCCACTCCCCCCAACCACCGACGCTCAGTAGCAGCAGTGTGTACCATCTACGAGATGCACTGCAATGACTCACCAAGGCTCCTTTGACAGCACCTTCCAAACCCACGCCCACTTCCATCTAGAAGAACAAGGGCAGCAGGTACATGAGAACACCATCCCCTGCAAGTTCCCCTCCAATTTGACTGTCGTTCCTTCACTGCCACTGGGTCAGAATCCTGGACCACCCTCCCTAAGGGCATTATGGGTGTCCTCTCATCATGTGGGCAGCAGAAGTTCAAGAAAGGAGCTCACCACCACCACCAGCACCTTCTCGAGGGCAGCTAGGGACGGGTAATAAATGCTGGCCAACCAGCGATGCCCATGCCCCATTAAAAGACTAGAAGCCAAAGAAGAGTCTTTTGGACTTGAAACTTTAACTCTGCTTCCGTCTCCATGGATGCTGCCAGAGCTACGGAGTTTCTCCAGCATTCTCTGTGTTTGTTTCAGAATTCCAGCATCCGCAGTATTTTGCTTTTATTCTATAGGAGGCTATTTGCTTGGATCACACCACCAAACCATTGCCCATTGGCAATCCCAACGATTCAAGAAGGCAGCTCAGTGCCACATTCCCTGGGCTCGCAGCAGCTAGGACATGGGCAATAAATGCCAAGCCTGACTTAATAACACCCACTTCCTGAAAATCGAAACTCTTCACAGCCCTTTACAGGGTGGCATGGTGGGTCAGTGGTTAGCACTGCTGGCTCACAGTGCCAGGGACCTGGGTTCAGTTATACCCTGGGCTGACTGTGTGGAGTTTGCACATTCTCCCCGTGTCTGCGTGGGTCTCCTTCCACAGTACAAAGATGTGCAGGTTAGGCAGATTGGCCATGCTAAATTGCCCATCATGACCATGGATATACAGACTAGGTGGATTAGCCATTGGAAATGCAGGGTTACAGGGAGAGGGCAGAGGGGTGGGTTTGGGTGGGATTTTCTTCAGAGGTTTGGTGTTATCTTGATGGGCTGAATGGCCTGCTTCCACACGTAGGGATTCTATCTATGAAATTGATTGCTGCTTCACACCAAATCACAGCTCAGTGTGATCGATTGTGTGACGAGTTGCTTTTTGTAAATATGAGTTTAAGTTTTGGTGTGTTCTAGACGCAGTTTGATGTGTTCATAGGGTTAAGTGAGAGAGTGAGAAAGTGGAGTATGGGGTGAATGTATATCAAGGGAAGGTGCTCGATGGGGCAGATGTTCATTACCTTTTCTGAAGAATCTTAATGAATTAAGCATTCTGAAAAAACACACCTGTGTAAACGGCAAACAGTAGTTCAATTCCTGCTACGTTTCTAGTCAAAATATCAGGAGTTTTCAAACAGATTAGCCTCACTGATACTCTGAGATGGGCTTTCTCTTCAAGAGCAGGTAGACTGGGGATGATCCAGGAGTATCTGCTCTATTCCTGATTCATGTGAAAATTCCATGCCCACCAACCCCAAATGAAATAACCCCACAGAGGCTGGTACCCCGTCAACACATCGTCCCTTTATTTACACGGGGAGAGTCCTTGACACTGATGCAGTTCCTTCAGAGCCAGCTCTCAGAGTGAACAGGATGTCTGACATAACAAGGTGTAGAGATGGATGAACACAGCAGGCCAAGCAGCATCAAAGGAGCAGGAACGCTGATGTTTCGGGTCTGGACCCTTCTTCTGACACTCCTATTTATATCTGTCAGCCAGGGCTCCCTGATTGGACCAGGTTAACAGCCCCAATCAGGGAACTCAGATTCTATGGATCCGCCTGGCTGATCTTGTTAAAATTACTACACCACCAATCTTAACCCATCCCCAATTCTCAATGAGAAAAGGAGGGAGATGAGTGCAGTAATTGTAATGAGGTTAGCCAAGTAAGGGATGACAAAGCCTTTGAACTGGCCAGCAAGAGTTAAAGATGATGGGAAGGACTGCCTCTGGTAGCAAGATGTGAGATCTATCTCCATCCACCTGCTTCCCTGGGGAGGACCATATGGACACATCTGTCTGGTTCCTGCTAGGTGCCAGCGGAACTGACCCCCACCAACAACTGGAGGAGAGTGCTCTCCTTTGACCACGGGGACTGAGAATTGGTGCAGACAACCCAGGGAGGGGTGAGACGCTCTCCACAAAACGTTCAGGGCTTTTTTTTTTACCTTTAGAGGTGTAGCAGCTTCGGGATTCAATATCACCAACGGTGCAACAAAGATCACGCCAGCAATGTCCTCTGGTCTCTCATGCACAATGTAGATTGCCATCAATCCACCCTGAAATACAAGAGGAGGCAAAATTACAACAACATCTCCAATAGGCAAAGCCCTGGCGAGTAAAGTCACACAGGAAAGTGGGCGTGACAAATGTCAGATCAGCCATGACCCTATTGGATGCCGTTGCAGGTTCGAGGGGCCGAGTGGCCTGCTCCTGTTTCTATTTCTTAGAGTCGTTACCACAGTAGCCCAGTTGGTGCAGGCACTTCACACTGCAGTCCTCAGTACACAGCTGTGAAGGGCTGGGTCTGCTTCCTGATCTGTACTGGAACAATCTCAGCCAGAACTGCAGCTTGATTTGGGGTGGGGGGGGGTTGGTGGGGGGGGGGGTTGGTGAAATCCACTTTATTGGCTGTGATAAAAGGGGCAAGAGAACATCACGGGCCATTTTCATACCCCACCTAGTTATCTTCTCCCCTTAGCAACAATATGCATTTTACAAAGCAAAATATATGATCAAACATGACTTGGAAGCGATTTTCATACGAAGGTATCAGGACAGGTGATCCATAGCTTGTTCAGAGGAAGGGCTAGGGAGGGCAAGGAGTTAGAGGGGCAGAAAGGCTGATGGAGAACACGGGGCCCAGGCAACTGAGATCACGGTCACTGAGTGAAGGGAGTAGGCCAAACTCAGAGATTGCTGGAGACATTCAGCAGGTCTGGCAGCATCTGTGGAGAGAGAAAGCAGAGTTAAGGTTTCAAAATCTGGTGACTCTTCTTCGGAACTCATATAACTCTGTTTCTGTCTGTCACAGATACTGCCAGACCTGCTGAGCTTCTCCAGCATTATGTGTGTTTGTCTCAGATTTCCAGCGTCCACAGTATTTTGCTTTTGTTGAAGGAAGTGGCCGATGGGCAAATGGCCAGAATTGAGTTATTGAAATTGTAAAGTCCTTGGAGGATTGTAGGGTTACAGAGAGAGAGGCTCCTAAGCTTTCGGAAAAGGCCAATGTGTGCCAATCAGTTGGTGCTGCCTCCCTAGATGAATGTCCCCCAAATTGACACAGGTTAGAGTCAAGACAGTAGTCGTTCCTGTCAGTAGCCTTCTGATAAGGCCTGGACTGGTCTTAGTGAACACATCTCCTGACACATTGTACCTGATCAAGTGTAAATGAGAACTGGAGGGACATCAACTATGGTTAACACCCATGGTGAGCTTACTACATAGGAATGGGAGTAGGCCATTCAACCCCTGGAGCCTGTTCCACTATTCAATGAGATCATGGCTGATCTGGGGCCTAACTCCATATACCTCCCTTTGGCCCATATCCCTTAATGGCTTTACTTAACAAAAATGTACTCATCTCAGATTTAAAATTAACAACTGATCCAGCATCCACTGCTATTTGTGGGAGAGAGTTCCAAACATCTCCCACTCTTTGTGTGTCGAAGTGCTTCCTAACATCTTTCCTGATCGCTCTGGCCCTAATTCTCAGACTATGCCTCCTAATTCTAGAATCCACAATCAGTGGAAATAGTTTATCCATATCTAAGCTGTCTTTTCCTGTTAATATCTGGAAGACTTTGATCAGATTACCCTTTAACCTTCTAAATTCTAGAGAAAATAGGCCTAACTTGTATAATCTCTTCTCGAAATCCCTGAAGTCCAGGTATCATTCTTGCAAATCTACAATGCCAATGCCAATCTATCCTTCCTAAGGTGAGCTGCCCAGATCTGCTCACAGTACTCCAAGTGGGGTCTATCCAGGGTGTTGTAATGATTGCAGCATAATGTCTGCATCCTTGTACTCCAGACCTCTAGACATAAAGACCAGCATTCCATTAGCCTTCCTGATTATGTTCTGTGCCTGATAATGGTATTTTAAAGATCTATGCATCTGAACCCTTAAGTCTCATTGGACATCCATTGTAGTTAACTTCATACCATCTAGAAAGGTCTATCCTTTCTCGGTCCAAAATTGATAACCTCAATTTTGTTTATATTGAACTTCATCTGCCATAGTTTTGCCCATTCATTTAATCTTTAATATCCCTTTGTAATTTTATGCTATCATCTCTAGTGTCTACTTTGCTACCTAACTTTGTGTCATCAGCAAATTTGGATATATGGCTTTCTACGCCATTATCCAAGACATTAAAAATAACGTGAATAATTGGGGCCCTGACACAGATCCTTATGGGACACAAAAACAAAGTTGCTGGATAAGCTCAGCAGGTCTGGCAGCATCTCTGAAGGAAAAAGCAGAAGTTCTGAGGAAGGGTCACCAGACCTGAAACATTAACTCTGTTTTTTCCTTCACAGATGCTGCCAGACCTGCTGAGCTCTTCCAGCAACTTTGTTTTTGTTCCTGATTTACAGCATCCGCAGTTCTTTTGGTTTTTATTCCTTATGGGACACCATTGGCCACATGCTGCCAATTTGAGGGCCGACTCATTATCCTGACTTTCTGCCACCCACCACTCAACCAATTTCACAGCTATGTTAAAAATCTGCCCTCAGTTCCGTGTACTTCTATCTTTGTAAACACGCTCTCACATTGGACTTTATCAAATGCCTTCTGGCATTGTGGTCTCCTACCACTTTCTCAAGGACACCTGGGATAGTCAACTTGCCATTGCATTAAAGATTCTTGGGGGCTTGACAGGGTAGATGCAGAGAGGTTGTTTCCCCTTTTGGGAGAGTCTAGGACCAAAATGCATAATCTCAGAATAAAAGATCATAGAATCATACGGTACAGATGAGGCCCTTCAGCCCATCAAGCCTGTACTGTCCATTTAAGACAGAGGTGAGGAGGAATTTCTTCTCTCAGAGGCTAGTGAATCTATGAAATTCTTTACCAAGGAAGCTTGGACATTAAACATATTCAAGGCTGAGATAGACAGATTTTTAATCCGTAAAGGAATCGAGGACTACGTGGAAAAGGAGGAAAGCAGTATTGAGGATTATCAGATCAAGCATGATCTCAGTGAACAGTGGAGCAGACTCGATGGGCTGAATGTCTTTCTTCATCTTCTTCATCAGATGGTCTTATCTCTAACAGAGTCTACCACTACGGAGGAAATCAAATTAGACTCAGACCTTTCTGGGATGAAACTTCGTTGAACAGAGAGTGGGAAACATTTGGAACTCTCTTCCTCAAATGACAATTAATGTGTGATCATTTTCCAAATCTGGTAACCTTTATTTTGAGCCTAAGAGGTTTCTTTTGGTTCATTCATGGCATGTGTGCATTACTAGCTAGGCCAGCCTTTATTACCCAGAGAGCAGATAAAAGTCAATCACATGGCTATGAGTCTGGAGGCACATGTAGGCCAGACTAGGCCTGGCAAAAAGAATCAAAGGTGACATAAGGAAAAACATTAGGATCTTGATCTGAGTGCATGATGGATACAGGTTCTATCAAGGCATTTAGGAGGGAATCAAACATATAAACAGAGGCATGGGGTAGGCCATTCAGTCCATTGAGCCTGGCCCACTATTGAATATGATCATGGCTGACTGAAAATTTCAATGTCTTTTACACCATCCCATCCCCACTGTATACCACTGGTAATCGGAAATCTAACAATCTCTACATTAAACATACTCAAATATTGATCTTTAACAGTCCTTTGAGGTGGAGAATCCCATGGATTCACAACTCTCTAAGTAAAATTAATTCTCCTCTGATCAGACCTAAGTAGCATCTACATTGTTTTTAAACAGTACCTCTGACTTTAGACTCCCAACCGGGGGAACCTCTTACCTGCATCAACCCCGTCTGTCTCTTTAACTGCTCTATGAGATCACCTTTCATTCTTCGATGCTGCAGAGTATCCAGGCTCAGTTTGCCCAATCTCTCTCCACAGGACAGTCCCACCAGCCCAAGGATGTGCCTTTGTTGCACTCCTTCTATGTCAGTAATCTCTTTCCTGAGTTAAGCAGACCAGAGCTACATGCACTACTCCAGGTGAAGTCTAACCAAGCTCCTATATAATTGAAGCAAGACTTTGTTATTCCTGTACTCCAATACTCTTGTGATAAAGCCTAACATTCCATTAGCCTTCCTAATAGCTTGTTTGTCCAAGTGGCTTATTGACAAGGACATCTAGATCCCTTTGTATAGCCAGTTCCCAACCTTTTACCATTTAAGAAATGCTCTGCACATCTGTTTCTCCTATCAATGTGGGTAACTTTGTATTTTTTCACGTTGTATTTATTTTTTGCTTAATGTTGAGTAGTCTGACCAGTCACATTGCGTCTGGAACACAGCACTTCACATTTTCCTTTAAGAAAAAGTTAGGGTCTGGGCTACCTTCTTAAAATATTTTGAGGGGGTCTGGTCTGGTCCATAACACACATAGAAAAAAGTAGAGACAACAAGGTGCAGGGCTGGATGAACACAGCAGGCCAAGCAGCATCGTAGGAGCAGAGAGGCTGACGTTTCGGGCCTAGACCCTTCATCAGAAAAGGGGGAGGGGAAGGGGGTTTTGAAATAAATAGGGAGAGAGTGGGAGGCAGATAGAAGAGGGATAGAGGAGAGGATAGGTGGAGAGGAAACAAACAGGTCGAAGAGGCGGGGATGGAGCCAGTAAAGGTGAGTGTAGGTTAGTGCTCAGAAATCAGCCCCAGGTCCCACTGATTTCATACACTCATTTTCATTGCAACATAACCAGATAATGTACAAAGGGGCAACATTGCAGCATCCATTCTCTGAGGATTAACAGCATTGAGGCATGAATCTATATTGAGATCTGAATTAAGCAGCCTCAGGCCACAGTGTTTGTCTGTCACACGCTGGCAGCTCATTCCCAGGCACTGCCTGAAATTAACTTGCTGCAATTTACACCTTTAATGATCTGGTCTCACTGGGAGAGGTTTAATCTGTGATTCCTGTGTAAAGATTTTGCAGCAAAGCCACACAGCTCTAATGAGGTGAATCAGAAAATACATTTCCCACTGTTTAGGAAACTGGCAGTTCAAAGTGACAGAGTTAAGGTCAACGAAGGATCAAGTGGTATAGGATGAACCTTACAGAGGGGGCTGTTGAGAAGGCAAT